GGGCCCGCCTCCCTTAAAGGGGCCGAGCCAAGCGGGCGCTGCCGGCCCTCCGGGTGAGCGGGAACCTTAAAATCCAGGGTGGGGGACGAAAAGCGTAAAGCGTGAGGAGAAGAGTCTGTGACTCCACAAAGCGCATCGGCCTAGGGTGTTCTGGGGTGTGTGAGCCCTTCCCTGGCGCAGCCGCCTTCATTTTGGAGCAAGGCCGAAGCAGCGCCGAGCACCGGGTCGCCGCGATGCGGTTCCTCGTCTTCGGGTGACCCCTCACAACAGCGAATCCAACGTCAGCTCTGCGCTTGTTGCTCGCAGACCAGCCTCTGCACTTCAAATGTTTCCTGCCCGAGCTAGTTTGTTCTGGTAGTGTGAAGAATCATCTGCTTCACTACAACAGGTTTTGCCACCTGCTTCGAAGCTGGAGAGGGGCTTTGCCACAACTTATATACAAAGTAATTTCAGGTTTCAGGTAGCAGTAGCCGTGATGAAGGCCTGTCTCCCAACAAATAACATACTGTAATATATTGTTGGTAAAGAGAATACAGTTATTTTTTGTTTCAGGATACAAAGTAAAGTGATACAACTACCCTGTCCAAGTAAAATGATATTATGAAGAGTTTACTGTTAAACCTTTTAAAGAATTGCTGATTCTGCGTACAGCAGCTTGGAATAATAGTTTGCAAACCAGCAGAACACATAAATAAACATTAAGGAACAATGGCTAAAATCATTTAGGTTTCCATCATCACAAGATGACAGAATAGTCTGCAAATATTATCAAACACAATTTTGCCTGTTTAAGAATTGCACAACAAAGGTCAGTTATAGTCCCAGTTCTTTAGATTAGGGTGTTGACGTAGAGAAAATAAATTATGCACTCAGGATCTGACAAGAACAGAATCAAAAGTCCTCGAGTTCTGAATTTAACCATTTAAAAATCTAATCTGCTTAGAAGGAAAAATTGATATAATTATGGACACAGAATTTAGCTTAGATTAGGGAGGAGCTAGTACTGTTATTCTTAGTCTTTTACATGTTTCTTCCACCTCCTAATGTCTTTTGGAGCTTCCAGGCTGTTCTCTCCATACCTGTGAACAAATTCACTCCAACCTGAGTATCACCAGATGTCTTGTCTTTGCCTTCTTTTTTTCATTCCACCTGGATTTATGACAGGAACTATCTTTCTTTCTCCCATCTGGACTCAGACAGTGAAGAACTTTCAAGCGACAAACTGTTCCCCTGCTCTTGGTGCCCATTCTTGGCCTGCCCTGCTGCACTCCAGAGCCGCAGCAGCAAGGGAAGCCTCTTCACTCCTAGGGTGGAGAGGCCGTACGGCTGAGTTGGCACGGACTCAACATCGGCATCAGAAATGGCAACGAAAAAATCCCAGGAAGGGCAGACTCCTCAAGGATTTAAACCAACAAAGTCAAAGAGTTTCTACTGAGCCTGTGCAAACAGAAATTTTTCAAAGGCAGTTTTTCAGAGAAGCAGTACTGCTGGTACAAAAGCAGTTCATCTTTCAAAGGTCTTCTCCAGAACAGAGGACCCTACACAAAAATTCATGGGCCAAACTACGTCTATCCTCTTACTTGCCTTCTCACAGACATGTCACTGATTTTGGCTGATACATTTTGAACACAAAATTTTAGATTCTTGTGTGTTAACCTCAACGCAAATACTAGAAAGTTTTAAGGAAATACTGTGACAGAAGTTGCCACTGGCATTCCGGCAGTACGCCCAGCAGGTGGTGCCACCAGTCCGTCCAGCAATGGTTCTCGCAATTAGCTCCGGCCGTTAATGAACAACCTGTTTTCTTCTTATGGGAGCCTATGCACAAGATTTAACCGAGTTTTATTTATCCCAAAAGCTCGACAAGCCGGCGTTCTGTTACTAAAATAATTTGGGACGACGCATTCTCAAATGTTCTTTGAAATTCATTTTAACTCAAATGTTCTTTGAAATTAATTTTAACTCCTGTCACGTACATTTCTGATGTGCTGCTGTACTCTCAGAAAACTCGGTGCTTGAAACTGCTGGAACTGGACAGCGTGCCGTGTTTTGTACAAGTATCCTAATATCACGTCTGTCTTAAATTCATCCATAACGAAAGGACAGGGGTTGCTGTGTGTTGTTAATTGCTTACCAGTCTCCGGATGTTTTTACGATCGCTGCCTGCTGGGACACGGGGTTCCGCCTCTTCAAAAAGCATCTGTCAATCTTTTGCTGTATGCAAAAAGGGACGGTTGACAGTAACAGTCACTAGCAGCAACTCCTGCATTCTGAAATGGGAGTTGAGAATTATTAAGCTGTTAATCCCAAACACGCCGGCAACAAGTTGGGGAATTGGTAAAGTGGCCCTGGCCTCTAGGCCGTGCACAGGGTATCAGTGCGTACGGTAATGTCTCTGCTTACGGATTTCAGTAAGACCTCAGAAATATGCATCCAGTGGTGCAAAACTCTGAAAGTAAAATACTGCAAATGTATTATCGCTTAAAACTTCTGAGCTGTCAGCCTCTGGTGGTCCTGGGAGGAGAGCGGAGGCCATGCAGCC